TAATCTAATTAATCCCTTATTCCTTCCAGGCTAACCAGCTCCGCCAGCCTGTTGGCGTTATGGTTACGCTTGACAGGTCATCAACCCACATCTTTTTGTTGCCAAGATGGATGCCGTGATAACTTGGCCTAAATAACGTCTTCGGTGAGTGGCACACCCACCTTCAGGTGTTTTTCACGCTCCTAGGCAGTTCTACGAACGTCGCTAGGCAACCGCCACTTGTGTTCTCTCCTGCCTTCTCGAAAGAAAAGGCGCGCACGAACATCAGACAGCAAAGTCACACGGTAGGTCCTTGTCCTGGTAACTGGATATTGTACAGACCAGCGCCTTGCCTGACACCAAGGCGTATGAAAGTAATCGATCCGGGTGTGCAGGCAGAAGACTGGCTTTGCCTCCTTATTTAGTTGAGCATTCTAAACAAACAAACGATAGTCGTTGTCTGCGCGTTAATCTGATTCCTCCGGTCTCCTGCGTTTTGGCTGTGTCCTTAGCGTATGGCAACGGGCAACGGGCTCGTGGCCCGGTGAGTAGAGGCGTTGACTTCTAAACCAACAGGTCGCGAGTTCGAGGCTCGGGTGTTCCACACTTCGGGCTTGGGTATGGCTGGCTGACGACGGCTAATAAGCCAGAAATGGCCATTCCAGTCTCCCTTGTCTTTGTCGGTAATACTATTCTGCGCCGATGCATAAGGCAGAAAGAGTCGAGGAGAAAGGAGCCAGATAGTCCAAATCAGACGGCCGAACCAAAAACTTGGCGAACACTTCCTTACATTAAAAATGTGTTTGAACTCGTTGAAAGACACTAAAGGAAGCACCAAATTCAGGTGGCGCACCGACCGACGACTACTTTGCGCACTCAGCTCGTGCACCCTAAAGATAGGGTTAACTATCTGGAAAAAAAGAATTCGTTTACAAGATCCCTAATTTTTAACCTTATCATAGCCCTAGCCTTAAACCTAGCCTTTATTTCACTGGATGTTGGCACAGTGCCGCCCGTATTGCAGACAATTCTTGTCCTCATGTCCTGTTTAAGTGGTCATATAAGTCAGTCCTGACCTACCCGTTTGCAGAACGGGCATTGAGCAGTTATTCCGTAGTAGTTGGTTGTCGTCAAGTCAAATGTTTATCGAAATTTCGGGTCTGACCCTAAAGAATCACGTACTGAAGACTTAACCCCATATCCTGCACTTAATAGTTTCTGGAATTATTAGCTACATATATATATATATATATGAGAAGAAAGGGTGATCTCGAGAACCATAGTTTTACTATATATAGTTTTATATGTGTAGTGGCAATTGAATCGAAAATGCGCGTCCCGGGGGGTAAATGAGAAGGAGAGGCGATCACGGAAACCATAGCTATCGTGGCTTGAAACTTCGAAAACAAACAACCTATCATCGTCGGAGGTAGGTTCTGTACGGCGCCTCACAGTACTTACGGATACTGAGCATGCCGGCGTGCTGTCATTCTTACTGCTATCCGTGCGAGACGCACTGCAGGGAGAGGGATATTTAATCGCTGTCATGCTAATCTCCCCAACGAGGAGAGGGGGAAAGGTGCCGACCAGCATGACAGCGATTAAATCTCCCTCCCCTTGCAGTGCATCTTGCACGGATAGCAGTAGGAATGACAGCCCCCCTCCCCACACCCGACAAAGGACGAGGAGGAGCCGATGTCGCCATGACAACAATCGCAAACCTTGTGATGCAGCGCGCTGGAGGTCACTGATACGCCAGCACGAAGGAGGACCCTTAAAAACTGTGGCATGCCGAACGCATCCCACCTCCGATGATGGAAGCCTGTCTGCTTTCGAAACGTCAGGCCAAAAACCATGGTTCCTGTGATTGCCTTACCGCCTCATATATACCTAATTTGGTCCATGAATTCGCCCTCTCTTCTTCTTCTTCTTCTTCTTCTTGGGCGGATAATGAATGCGATAGACATAAATGTGCCGAATGTTATTACCGACAAAGACAAGGGAGACTGGAATGGCCACTTCTGGCTTATCAGTCGTCGTTAGCCCGTCATACCTAACCCCGAAGTGTGGAACACCTGGGGCTCGAACTCGCGACCTGTTAACTGGAAGTCCAACGCCTTTAATCACTGAGCCACGAGCTCGTTGTCCTGTCGAATGCGATCGGGAATACACAATGGTAGGGGGCGCTCACTGATCGTTCTTACGGATCTCACTCGTTCGAGTTCGAGCCCCAGATGTTCCACACCTCAAGTTTGAGTATGGCTGCCTGGCAGAAATGGCTATTCCAGTCCCCCTTGTCTTTGTCGATAATAACATTCTGCCTATATCATGCGCCGCCGTGCAGCTGCTGGTTGGGTTGAACGGTTTCGGTTTAGCCAAATTCGCTGAGAAACGGACACTCGTTTCTCCTCCACAATGCTTCTCCCCTTTAGCGTTTAGCGTCGGAGGCATAGGTGCTCATTTCATTTAAAGATCCAAATAATTGTGAAGAAAATTCACCACGGCAGAATTGCATGTGCTGTTTCTCAGAGACTCCAAATTTTTAAATTCAGTGGTGGGCGGCAGATATTAACCCACCAGGCATGCTTCACCCCTAACGAGATGCAATTTATATCCTTGGGTACTTGGAGAGCTTTTGATGAAATCCTCCTACTTAGGTATTTGCGTAAAAATGATAACTCTCTTTGTGCCAGAATATCACGAATTGCACTTTATTTCCACCGTCTAGTTTGCTGCATGACATCACGATCGTAATTCACTACTAGAGCAATCACCCCATCGCTTACAAACGGAGGGCTGGTAACCGCCTACTTAATCGAGCAAAAACTCACTGGTCGGACGATGAAAATTACCGAATAGAACTTAAACACTTCCTCAAACTATCTTCCTAAAATGTTCAACCTTGAGATTTTGCATTTTAATGCATGAAGCCACGGGGGTTAAGAGCAAAAGACAAGAAAGGAAGCTGTTCCGATTGGAGCCTAAACCAAAAACTGACGAAAACTTGCTTTCATTAAATCCTTCAAATTCGCTGAATGTCGCCCGATAAAGCATGGAATACACCTGGCACACAAACGTCCGACTACACTACGTCCTAGGAATAGGGCTTGCTATTTAGATAGGTAGGATGTCAGCTAAAAGATTTAAAGCGACACCTGCAATGCAGTTTACTAAGTCCGAACAGAAAAATCGATATCTACACACATTAACGAAGATCAGTCGGCAGTAAAAAGGCGAGGCCATCAGTTTCAAGTCGTCCTGTATTCCCTAGAAATTTGGCCCAAATTTGCATGAGGCAAAATCCGCATTTGAACAAGGCGAAGGCGACAAAACATGCAGAATTTAATGACGTCATAAATTTCGAGACCTCTCATTCAGCTGCACACGGTCATTGCATAGTTATATTACAAGGCAAAACTGTTCAATCAACGATCGACCTAGAGAGCTAAAACGTGATAGGTAACCTGAAACATGGGTCTAGTATGCGGGTGCATATGGTGAGGGGGGGAGTGGGAGAGAAGTCATCCAAGTATGAGAGAACTGGTGCGGCGTGCTTTGGAGTGCAACGTGCGGGGAGCATTCAGTCATGCCGGGGAGAGGGGGCGGGGCGGGTGGGGGCGAAATGAGAGAGCGTACAAGGGAACAGGGTTTCGTCCATAATCGATAATTACCATGGCAATGCCAGGTTTATCACATGGTCCAGCTGCTTACAGAGTTCTGGTTTCCTCCTCCGTATTGCAGCGGCCTCTGCAAAGCGCAAGATACGCCCGGTCGTCGCCCGAAACAGGACCTTGAATGCAACCATTTGGTCCACCGTATGGCCCGTGTCCAATAGGTGCTTTGTGATTGAGCTCCTTGGTACCTTATTTTCCGCCTTAAGCAGCCACTTCGGCATGTGTTCAGCTGACCGAGCTGCCAATTGCCTTTGCGTGCGCCCGATGTACTTGCATCCGCAACTACATGTAAACTCATAAGTACAGTTTGATGTGGCGTGCATAGGCAAAATGTCTTTAGCTGGTTTGTGGTGCTTATGAACAACAATTTAGAGGCGGCATACGTCCTTTCGATAGTGCACCGAAGTCGTCGCTTGATCACGTTTGACACATTATCACCCTTAAAGGGGAGGTAGATGGTCACGGACTTTTTAGGTACAGATATTTCTTCAGGAGTTTCTTGTCTGGCATGGCGATATTTATCGATGCATTTCTCCGGATACCCGTTTTGTAGAAATTTCGAGGACTTTCGGAGGCCATACACTCCAATGGCTCATGCATTAATCGGGACATTAAAATAGACGCAGTCTACGATAATCTCAAGTAAAAATGGAAAAGATGACTTTCAATCTGAAGAGGATGTCAGTCCACAGCAATGGCTCATCA